TCCGAGTTAGGCACCAGATGGGCGTAAACAGGGAAGCAAAAACACCTCCAAATGAGGAAAACTTCCCCCTAGAGCTGTCAACAACATTAAGCTACTGCACTCATCAAGTCTTGCAGAGAAGTTGTACAAACTGCTGTTATAAGCAGCAAAGCACCCATTGGAAAAATGAACTTCAGCCGCGGGGACGGTTTGAGTCTGAAACATAAAGGGATCAAGAATACAAACAGCACTTCTCATCCAATTCAGCTTGGTTTTCACAGACCTTTTAGCACACAGCCAGAGGGTATCCAGGGAAGAGAAGCTGAGGCCCTAGAAGGAAAGCTTGTTTGAAACACGATAATGCAGTAGATAGCTGAAGAAGTCACTGCATGGCTGTACCTGGATGACATCATCCTCTGCAACTTCATAGAGGAGCTCATCATGGAGCTGAAGGACAAAGAAACCTCCGCGGATGGGGTGTAACATCCCTCCGTTTCTCTTCCTCGCCAGCCTTCCTACAAAGGTGAAGAGCACAGGTCACTACGTACCATTACGCAAAGGCATGTTTCCTGTACTGAACAAACCCTCACACATTCCTAATGCTGAGAAAAAGAACATGGGGAACTTCAAAAATGAGAGCACATGCCTACAGATAAAACCACAAAGCATTACTATTCTATCAATATTTGTACAGCTACTGAGGGAAAAATGTTAATGAAAAGCGTTTGAGAGATAAATATTTCAGCCTTACATTATAAAGATATGAATCAGAACAGAAACAAGAGACAGTTGCGTCTCCTGAACCATCTGTTTTAAAAGTAAATTTTAAACAAAATCATGTCAAGTTTAATCAGAAGTCGGTTTACAACGTTCTTTCTGGCAATTCATTAGGATTCTGCTTTTCTTCCAAAAATCATTCTAATGGCTAGGCTGAAAAGGCAGTAAGCCTCCTCCCAAATGCAGTTATCTGAAACTGTAGCTTTTAGTCCTGATTAAAAAAAAGGAAGGAAAAAAAAAGAGCAGTTTTTGAATAAACAAGTAAGCAGCTGATGAAAACAGGATCCTGGTAGGTCTTGCCTGAAAAAAATAAAACAGAACAAACCATTCCATGGTAAAAGCTTTTTTTTTTAAAAAAAGATAAACAAACACAACCTCACACACAGCGACTCAGAAGTTCTTTACTTCTCAGATTAGCTAAAGGAGGACTCTGATTCACAACTACAGGAAGGGTTTCACAGCATCATCAGTTCCTCACACAAGCCTCACACCGAAGCAGCAATGTTGAAGGAACTACATGATGCAGGATGCTTCTCTGATGGCACAGGCATTTATAACTTGCTGAAAGAGAATTCTTTCCAGTCCTTGAAAGAGCTAGTATCAAAGGAGGAAAAACTGTCACAGATGCATCTACTCGCCTTCCTGTAATTACATTGGCCAAAGGTCAGTAGCTGCTGCTCCTGGAAGGGTGGGAAGTTCTGCCAAGCACACGCCTCCTACTCACAGCAGACCTCTGAATCTTGTCTCTCTAAAATAAAACTCCCTGACATATTTTTAGATGTTCAGCAATTAATAACTTAGTTTTCCTTCTCAGTCCTACAAATCAGACTCTTCATATTAAGAGAGCTTCATGTTTCTGGTTGAAGCATATCAAAGAAAGATAGCACTCCATCTCTTAAGTTATCTTTCTAAAAATATGTGACTGATGAACAAAACACTGTCTACACTATGCTAAAAAAAAAAGTCTTTGTAGCACTCCTCTGGGAATGAGTATCCCAGCACAGCTTTGCTACCTGCAGCCAGAAGAAATTTATGCTGATAAGTGCTTCATATAATGCTCTCGTGGAGCCTCTGTACATCAAATTCCACCCAACAAATTCCAGACTTAATTCTAACCAAAAAAATATATTTTTGGACCTAGAAGTTGTTCCACTCTATCTTTTCACTGCCTTTGAAGCCAGAGTATCTGCTCAGTTTCTCCTTCCTACTTTTGAACAACTCTGTGGTGGCATCACAGACCACATCACACACAAACTCCCACTGCCAACCTTTGCAAGATCTGCTTTGAGGCAGTTGGCGTTTCTGATCTGATCACAGCATTTGCTTTAGTTTGTGTGTTGAGCAGACTTTCTCCCTCCTTCCTTCTGAGTTTTTTTTCCCCATTAAACACAGACTTACCACTGCCAGGAAACGTCTCCCACCCCCAGCCCAAAGGCCCTAACTTTTTTTTGCAGGCAGTTATGGGTTTTTTTTTTAATTAGTAACACTGAAAGTTTTGCTCTAGTGTGCAAAGAAGAGGAGAGCATACCGGTCTTATCTCTCTGGAAGGAGCTCTCCAGATGTCTGTGGGACTTGATCACAGAGGAGAAAGCTTCCAGGCATCTCTGAATGTTCACAGTGGCTGTTTTGACGATGTCTGCAGCAGATCCCTGAACAGTTGTGTTCACAGCCTGACGCTCTGCCTAAACAGAGATAGTTGTTCTCAAAACCTACCCAAAAAAACAAATCAAATCCACCATGCCACATGTATTTCATTAAAAATAACAAATTCATGGCCAAATATAGGCATAGTAAAGCCTCCAGATGAAGAGTTTGTTATATCTGCCTGAAAGAGAGACACATATTCTAGACTAGCTTCAGACACAAAATTTCTCCAGGTGACTGAGAAAAGCAGGATTTCCACAAATTTAAAATTAGTAAGTATCAAGGGTAGTAACATGTAAGAGTCCCGAGCCACAAGAGGGAGAAGCATATGCACATGGCAACAGTTTCATGAGGAGCAGAAAAATCTCACAGTTAACCCAAGTACCATGATACACTTCTGCCTGTCTTCAAAACCATCAGCAATGGACAACCAAATGCAAGAAGCTGGACTTTATGGACTGATAATCTGGTCTACTGAACTGAACCCTGACTGCCTGAGCATTACAGCTGCGCAGAAACACACCAGACCACATTATGACACAATGACACTTTTTTCCCCACACAAGCAACCTCTCTACTAATCCCCTCCTCAGACAAGAAAACTGTATTCAAAGGTTTTTCTCACTTTCATTAGAGCTGAAACGTCTGCAAAAACTTGTGACGAAGCTGAAATGAAAGTGAAGATAATTCATCAACTGGTCTTTAATATGATTTTAAAGAATAAATCAAAGTTGAACTGAAGGTGCATCTGCAAAGCTTCATGCTGAAGTAGCCTTCAGATTAAATAGTCAAACAATCTCAAAAGTTTTTGAAAGTCTCCCTGTTTCCCTTTCAGCTACTTAGAGTACAAACTCCCCCACTTCCTCCCTCTTCCACTCTAGTCTTTAATTCCACATGACCTGATCCAACTTCCTACTGAGAAGTATAATGCTTCCTCCCCACAGAAATGTGCCAATACCTCCCCAGGGAGTCAATTCGCTCTTAATGAAGTAGTCTGACAGATGTGTCCGAAATGACCTTGAAAAAAAATTAATGCCAGTGCAAAGGCGTATATTAAGTAAATATTTATCTAACAAGCTTCAGCAATTTTCCTTTGAGGAGAAATAAGAAAAGGAACAAATACCCAAAAATAGAGGACTTAAATGCCCTTTCTTGTTCAAGTGCTGACAGCATACAACATACAAAGACTGCTGAGTGGGAGCAACTCAGCCTGAAGAGTTAAAGCACATCACTGTGTGGAGGCTTTTTAAAATCGTGTCCACTTATTTCAATACATTACTCACTCCAGTTCCAACGTGGGAGTTCTGAAGTGAGGTTAGCACAGTGATGACAGCTGTACACCCAGTCACAGAAGACTTACGTCAAGCAGACCATGACAAAAGCTCTGTTATTCAGAGAACAACTGAGGGAACAATGAACTAAGTGAGAAGTGGAAGGTCATGACCACAGACCCTGATGGCTCACAGACCCTGTAAAACCACAGATGCAGACATGCAAAGAAATCTAATACTTTAAAAATAAAATAAATAAAGAAATAAAGGTACTGCACTCAACATACATGAGCTTTACTGTAGGGGTTTGGATCTTTGATAGCTGGCAGGTATCTTCGTCTTCCCAGGATGGTCTGCGCAAACCCATCTCTTCTGCAGCTCCTCACTGTCTCTCTCAAGAATTTCTGAACTCCTGTGACAGGAAAGAAAAAGTTTTCCCTAATACAGCTGAAGTTCCAAGCTGACTTCTCACTGGGCTCACTGAAAGCAGCACAAAGGTAATTCTTTAAGTTTCCTAGATCCTGTCAGTGGACAAGGGCACATGATCACTTATTCAGCCTATTCACAGCTCTGCTGGGAAACCTATTAAGACTTTTGAGGTGGAAGAGAGTACGTAGCATCAGGCTATCTGGCTGTGCACAAGGAGGCAGGAAGTCCATTGTGCGCAGTGCCCAGGCACAGAGGATCATACATGTAATATTGATAACGGAGAGGTCAGGACCTGGACCAACACTAAAAAGACAAGTAGTAGGAAAGGAGTAAGCTGAAAGCAGAAGTCAGAGTCCTTGATGCCTCAGGCTGCCTGACTTCAGACTGTGTCACTTCAGATTCTAGGATGAAAGAAACTCACCCACCTGCGCTTTGCAAGGGAAGGAGTGAATCCACCGAGAGTGTTAAAAAGAAACTTAGGTCAAAGAAAGGTGAGACAGGGAAGAGTCCCTTTCACTGCAAGTTCAGGTAACTGCACTAAAGTGGAAAAAGTTAACTTCAGACAGTTTCTTTCTACAGTTTACAAAATATAAAATGTAAAAGAAGCTATTCAATATCAAGACTGACAGCGTTAATCAATTCACTAGGTACGTAATTTAGCATGTCAGCCTTGCAATACATATAAGTGAAAATTCATAAGAAGTGAAGTTACAATACAAGGTACATTGCAGAGTTTGTGTGCATGCACGTGTACCAAGAGGGAGGAAGTAGGAAGTAATTTCTAATGGTCATGAAGGAGAGATTATCCAGAAATTACTGAAGACTACACAGTCTCTTAATAGGACACCATTTCTCAGCATCTGTCTCATAAGGAAACAAACCCCAAATCTTCAGAACATAATTTTCTCACTCATTTCCAAGTTTTATGATTAGAGCTAGCTGTCTCATCCCATTTGCCCTCCATTCATTTTCTGATTGCAGCTCTACTCTCTATTGCTTTCCTAAAAATTAACATGCTTCTTAGAAATGCAACAAAACATGTACTTAACATGTCTTTTTACAAAACATGGGAGAGCTGCTCTGAGCAGCTGGATAAAAATGTAAGGGTTATATGCAAAACAGTTTAAAACTCAGTGAAAGCAGAAGACAAGAGCAGAAGAGAGAAATGGTTATACTCAAAAATTACAAGAAGCATGGTCTAAACTTGTATTGCATATCCTTTGAAGCTGTGTTTTTTAATAAGGAAAAGAGTTTCTTATTCAGAAGGCTTAGGGCTTTAAAATGAATCTCCAGGGCTTGTTAATTTAAAAAAAAAAAAAACAAAAACACAAAATAAGTAATGTAATAAGCAAACAACAAGGTCCTAAAGATGAATAAAACCAGAGTGTAGAGTAAAACATTATGGAGCATCAAACTGCTGTGTTCATGCACTGGACCTTTTCAGAATGAAAAGCTTTTTCAAAAGAGAAAGGAGTAGTAGAAGGCTGAGACAAATTTAGGATTTGAAAAGACATGGAGAGAAGGGATTAAAAACAGCCACCACCCAGCTCCCAAACAGCCACATCCAAACCTGTGTATCTTGATTTGAAGGATTCAATGTAATTGGCAGCTTCATTTTCATCAATCCCCATCTGCTCGCCTAAAGATTTTGCTCCTATTCCATAGATGATTCCATAGCAAATCTGCCAGAGGACAGTGGGAAGAACCACAACCATATGGTGAGCCATGCAGAGAAAGCAGAACCAAAACAACATGTGATTCACTGGAAAACAAGTGTATGGGAACAAGGGCGAGCATTCGAGAAGAAAGACTACCTCTGAGTCCGAGCCATTCATCCTGCTTTTCTCCACCCTCATCCCCCCAAACCTAGACAGCTCCAGTTGAAACGTATTGAGAGTGGGAGGACATACAAAGCAACTGCTGAACAATCACAGCTGAACTCAAACAGAAAACCATACTATCATGGCTCCCTGATGTTTTGAACACTGAACCTTCTGGCCCAGAAAGTTGCTGCTGAATTTTTTTTACTAAAAATTACTTGTTTAGCTTGTTGCCTGGTCTTATCTCCAACAGCTTCAGGATCAATCATTTTCCATTCTGCTGCAATGTTCTTAAAGACATCAGTACCATCGTTCAAGGCTTGAATGAGTCGACAGTCACGAGACAAATGAGCAAGGATCCTCAGTTCAAGCTGAGAGTAATCAGCAGCCAAGATTAAGCCACCTGAAGTCAAGAAGTTAGCAGCAATCATTATTTAATTACTCCAACATTCCCACCAACATTCCAGCAAGAAGGACTGAAGCTGCCCTTGCACCTTCTGCTCTGTAAGTTTTCCACAGCCATTTCTATCAGACAAATTCTTGCCAGTTTCCCTAATGCCCAGGCCTGCCTGCCTTCCATCAAGGCCCTACATCTAGAATCCATGAAAAATACACAAACAAGTGTCTGTCCAGGTGTCTGCATCTGATAGGAATGACCAGCACAGAGATCCGCAGACTTGTACCGAACCAGGGCAGGCAATGTGAGAACTGACATTTGGATTGAAAGAACACTAGATAGAGTGCAATTTGTGTATTAAGAGCTGCTAAGCAACCTCTTTAAAAACCAGGTATTCTTAAAGAGGAAATGAAGGTGTGAACATCTGAATTACAACATTTGAATACTTTCCCCAACTGAAACTCTCTCCTTTACAGTCTTGTGAATAAATTTGAGGGCATGCTAACTACTTCATTAGTTTTGCAAGTGGGCTGCTCAGTCAGATGTATACTGTCATCAATTCTTAACTCTTCACTAGATCTAGGATTTTTTGGTAACTATATTCTCAACAGTTACAGAGCAGGATCTTGGGCATTACCTGGGAAGGGAACAAAAGCATGCCTCATGCTAACAGAAAACGGTATTCCTCTTTCTTCAGATCTGTCTTCAGCCTGAACCTTTAGGCCATCAGGCAAAATACTGCAACGCTTTCTACATCTGTGGAGACAAAGAACGATTGTTCTTCACTAATTTCCAGAACGGTTAAAGATGCACAATCATTTTTGCCACAAAGACCCAGTGAAAACAAGTGAGACAGCAGCCTCTATTCCACTCTTCTGGACAATCCATACCTAAATTTGACCATGGGGGAATTGTACAGAGGCCACACATACTCCTGAAGGGATTTACTGACTCTGAACAGATTTAGGGATAAACCTTCCTAGTACACTCAGGGTTTGGTCCAGAAATTGGATAATTCCATTCCAAAACAGATAAGATGAAAGGCCCCAGATCTGTGATGGGTGCATTCCAGAAAGATAGCAAAGGAGTCCTACAGGAATCTTAAAAATACAACACCCCACCTTGAGTCTTCTCTCAACATCATCCTCATATGCAGAATGCCTATATCAGCCCATACCTAGTAGAGACAGATTTCCCTCCAACATCAGCCTTATGACTGCACACACACACAAGTAAGCCTGTAAAAGCAGAGCAGAAGTTGCAGAAGATATGCTCATAAAACACCACGTTTCTTCTCTGAGGACTGAGTAAAAAATTACCCCAGATCAACTTGATTTTCTTTTCCAGAAGGCCAGAATTTACAGTGGCACCCAGGTGCTCTACAAACTCTCAGGGCTTGCTTAGCTCTCCTGTCCCACCAAGTCACTTGTAGCTGCAGATGGAATCATATCCATCAGTGCACCCACTGAAAAGCCTGACGCTTTTCACATCACCTCCTCCCATCAGTACCAGTCTACCAGCCAGCCCATTGGGTTCTTCACTGGTAGTCAAAAGGCCTTTATAAATCCTTAATGTTTGGGTCAGGGATCTGAGCAATTTCTTTATCAGAATGAAAAGGCACTTCTGAGATCAAGACTCATTTCAGCGAAGCACAGAAAAGACACCATGCTCTCCTCCCTTGTGCACTCCCTTTTCATCTTACACCTTGTCATTTCAGGGATGGTTAGGGATCAAGGAGATGAAAGCACAAAAATCACAGAAATAAATTTTCAAAAGAAATAGAGTTGAGGGACAACATATGGGTACTGTAGAGAATTACACTGTCCAACACAGATTCCCAATTTAGTTGAATAAGTAAGGGCTTTATACCATGATCTAATTTAGCTGCATTCCTTTGGTCGGAAGCTTCTTACAACAAGAAGAAGGAGTAGTGATAGTAATTGCTAAGATGAAAGACAGTTCAGACCAAAGTTTGGAAGGCCTATCGGACTTAGGCTGCATGACAGCTTCTTTTGTGGCACCAGTCATTTCTGTGTCTTTAGGATTGCCCATCTTCCTAACACAGTGGCTGCTTAACTAAGGAATGTAGTCCCAAAAGTCAGCCTGAGAAGCAGACCTCTCTCAAAGTTCAGCAAGCACTCCGTGCCTTTGATGGGCTGCTTCTCTACAGAGAAGACTAAGAACCCAGTCCCCTCTCCACCCGTCAAGCAAAGGGGCTGCAAGCTTGAGCACTGCCAGAGCTATTTCTCAGAATGACATTTCTGCCTCCACGGCTAGGCCTGGCTCTTCTGAAGACAGATGGACAAGATCCTGCTGCTCCTGGGCTCTCTTCCCATGACCTACTCAAGGCACAAGGATGGTAGACATGTGGTGGTAGGAAAAGACAGACAGAAAAGCCAAAAAGTTCTCAAATTTCTCACATCTTGCTATGGGGAAAAAAAGGTGATAAAAGTCACTCAGGTGACACACATGGGACAAGAACCTGAATGGAAAGAGAAACTGAAAGGACAGAAACCCACCACCAAGTATGAAGCCCCAAAGCTCACCAGCTAGCTGCTAAGATTCACCTTGATATTTCACTAGACTTCCACACAGCTGCTTAGGCACTGGCATGCAATGCTGCCAAAATAGGATGTCTGGTTAACAGAATCCAAATTTAGAAATGTTTTTCTGCTACCTGGTAACTTTTGCAGGATCATTATCACAAATGAAATTATTAAAAAAAGAATGAAACATATGTTCACTCACATTCCCTTACACAGGGAGCTGCACAGCATAAGCACAGATGAACTTTCTTCTGCTTCTTCTACAATATCCTATCCTCTTCCAGAGTAGCTCTTAGAAAGCCAAATCAGATCCTAACTTCAGTGTAGTTACTTTTCACACTCAGGCTTTCTATCCAACAGATAGGAGCATAATGCTAATCTCACTGTAGGGTTTCATAAAGAATTTCAGAAAACAAGTGGCTACACAGAGCCACGTGCTGTTAGTATTATTAGGCCTTTCATGTGTCATGGATTTTTAGGTATTTATTCCACTGAAACTGCAAGAGAAACAGTGAGTAACAAGTCACACTGACAAGACAGCAGCCACAGGTGAAGTCAGAAAAGAGAAATTTGACAACTCGACTGCATTAAGATCAGAAGAGTAGGCAGAAGCTTTGCCAAGATCCTCCTACCTGCCCCCAGAAACAGCACAAGAATTAACATTTCCATGGGCTCGGGAGGGTGGGCTTTCTTCAACCACAGTTGGCATTTCAATCTCAAAATCTCTTGGCACATTCTGGATATTTGGCTCTGTGAAGGTTATTCGACCTGAGAAAGAAAACAAGGCAGAAGTAAGGGTCCAAAAGGAGTCTCTCTAACTTAACACAGACAAACACACATCTGCATCTCCAAACAACAAGGAGCAGGAGGGTGGGACAGGACACGACCACTGAGAAAACTGAAGAAAACAAAAAATAATTTTGGTTTCATGGGCTTGAGATGGTTCCCCTGCTCCATTTCTGTATCACTAATAAGAAACTCTCAAATCCAGAACCTGTTCTGACGTCAGAGATTTACATGCCAATATGTGCAAGAAAAATAAAGCTGCTCAGTGAACACAAAAGCTATTTTAACACACCTAGACTTTTAGGGCAGATTCACGTGAAACACATATTTCAGTATTTTCAGTTGGTTGAAGTAGAGCACAGGCTTGATTTTCTATCTTGTCCCCATAGAAAAGCTGCCCACACACACGCACACACACACACACAAAAAAATAAATCAGTAAGAAGCGAGGATTTTGCACACATTTCTTTACCAGTAGCTGTGTGAGTCTGGGACACTGGATATATCCTTTCCATTCCCAGTGCAGAATTCAATCGCTTTTCCCTCTGTAGTGGAAACACCACTTTAGTAATGGCATTGTTGATCCTCCTCCACTCCAGTATCAGCCCTGGTAATGGGTGAAGCATCTTTAATTTCTCCAAAACATCCTTGTAGGGAGGAAAAGGGCACAACTATAACCAGCTGCCTTTAAAGCTTCATAAATAAAATTCTGCAGGAAAAAGTGATTCCTTCACCCACAGTGACCTTCCAGTGTCACTGCCTTAAAATTAAACGGATATCCCCTCCACCTATACCACCTACACCTGGGCAACCAAAGCACCATGAGACGCAGCTGCAGTTTTATTACACACAAGTTGGCAACCATTTCTCTTTGGACTTTTGCATCCTCATCACCACTTTTTAGTCTGCACCAAATAAATCACCTGAAATGATCAAATAAAGCATCACTTGCCATAGGTCCCCTACGTTGTCTCCTCTTGCCCAGCGTTAATGCTCCTCCTCCATCTTCTTGCATATTTTTCTCCCTGCTCTCTCCTATCCGTACACTAGGAACACACAGAACAAAGCCCTTGACCGTGCTCCTTGAAAGACAAAGCTGATGACTAGCAATCAAATCCTTTCAGTTAAATCAGAAATATGAAGGGACTAACAAGAATTTCAAAAGACAGTGGCATGCAAACATTTCTCAAAATAACATTTTTTTGTATGCAGCAGGCAGCTGCAGCCTCATCTCTCCACATCACAAAAGGAGGAAATCCTCACTTTGCTTCTTGCTCCCTGCTCTGCCACCACCACTGCACTCACTTCTTCACTGTCACTTGAGTTTCAGAAATCAATACTTGTCTTCCAAGCATTGACTACACTGAACAAGGGGAAACTAAGAAAACAACACAGATTAATGAGTCCTGAAAACAGGGAACATATATATCTGCTAATATCACTTGTCTGGCAAGAGCCCCCATTAGCCTGCAGCAGTTGGTATTAATGCAGCTCCACAATATTTATCAACTGGCAAGCATGTCAATAGCCTTCACCTATGTACAAGCTTTTGATATACAAAATTTGATAAGCCATTCTGAAGACAAATTCTCTGAAGCACAAAATACAGATACAGTAGTACCAGGCAGGGAAAACATTGTATTTAATCACCATGATATTTAAGTATCTTTCAAGCTGATGTTGAAAAATTCTTCTACTATTTGGTTTACAAAATTATTGTGCTATTTTGGTCTTACACATGGTTTGGAAAATCAAATTCTGCCTGATTTATTCTTATTGAAGCCTGTTATTTATAGTCATGTCCTCACAACACTCAGGCTTTCAGAGAGTAGGAGGAGCTAATAACCCTACTAACAGAGAAAGTAGAAGCTAGAAGTTTGAATTTCCAGTGGTAACTGGAGGTGCAAAAGGCAACTAAAATTTACTTTCATTTAAGTCAGCGTACCTAACTTGGATGCATCCAAACAGCAGACATGTGAAGTAAGAGGGAGTTACTTTTACAGTCACTTCCAGACTAGAAACAGACTTTACTGTACCTTGGTTGTACTGAACTGCTTGCTTAACCTAACGCTGCTTCCTCTAGCAGTCGCTCTTCTGGTATAACCCAGAGTTTTCTTGTTCCCTTGGACTTTCACACCTCCATTTTGTGGCAACTTCAGTTCCAGGAACAAAACCTGAAAAAGGCCAGCATTTCAAATCAGTTTCTGCATGCTCCTCCCAGGAGAAAACTAAAACCAACTGAGCACTTAAACAGCTCATTTCGACCAAAGGACAGTACAAATTCAGGTACTTCAGGTAATTAAAAAGTTGATTAAAGATCTCTGCTATCCAAGTCATTCCTCCTCATTTTAATTAACTATAAAATGCAATCTAAAATCTCATTTTCTGAACACTGTAAGTTTGAGTTCAGAGGTATGTTTTTAGACAAGGGAATTGGCTCCATCCAATAAGTGAGGCTACTGCTGACAGTCAACTGTAATAAAACATGACGTTAAGATGACTAAAAGTGGGAAGAACATTGGTGAAAAAAACAAGTGTTAGTAGGGAGCAAGCTTCAGAGCAACATGAACAGCACAGAAGGAGGTGATCACAAATACCTTTTATACAATAGCCAGAATATTAGTTTTTCTAACAAATTGCCAAGAATGGAAAATTAAGTATATACTCACTTGTTGACAGACAGAACATAGTTCTTCATTTTACATTCTATGTTTCTACGTAGCATTATACACTATTTAGCAGCTATTGTGTTTCATTTCACCGCTGGCAGAAGGGAATAGAAGCTTTTCTCTCACACATTTTTGCAGCACAAAAGTTTTACTGACGCAAAATTGGAAGGGTAAAGCTCCATTAACCTATACAAGATACTTTACATGATTCCTAACAAAACTTCCACATGAGAAACGAGCTGCTGTACTTCAGAGAGCAGCATTTCAGAAAAAACCCTTTCCTTTCCCTTTTCAATGAAGCACAGTGAAATTGGAGCCAAGCATTATTTCAGGAGTCCTAACTCAAACCACTGTTACTGAGCAAAATTTCTGCCTTTGCAACAAAGGAGGAATATTTCCGTGTCACTTCTTTTAGTGATGGCTCCTTGCAAATTTTGACTATTTCCACAAAAAGTATAGCCCTCAGCAAGAAATTATATAGAAAATAAATAAATGGGGAAAAAAACCCAACATGCACAGCAATTACAATCTATTCCTATGATTCCATGTAACATACATTAAAAAATATATAGCAAAGTTCTTCAGTAACAAAAGTATTGCTAATTTACATAGAAATCTGTTTCTTAGGATTTTAAAAAAATCAGTTCTATGCCGGCTGTTAAAAACAGACAGTAGTTGATACAGAACTTTTAAAGCAGTCTTTCCTCCTCTTTCATGTTTGTATAGGGACAAGGATAACAATGTGACTTATTCAGAGTCAGACTACATGATATCCGTTTGTATAGGGACAAGGGTAACAACGTGACTTATTCAGAGTCAGACTACATGATATCACATCACATCTCATGTGAAGAATACTGATGTAGCAAAAAAGCTTCTCCAGTCCCATACCATTCATCCAAAATATTCCGAAAGCCCTTTAATTGGCAGATCACCTGATTTTTTTTTTTTTCTTTTTTTTGGCCAGGGACGGGTCCCTCCCCAGCTTCCAAAACCCCACCAGACACCTGTAAGAGTCCATAGAACATCACTGTCTCAACCTTGTTATCAGGGATATGGACAATAAGGTACCACAAAAGTTAGGCTAACATCTTGACATGAGTCTGCAGCGGCCTGCCTGAGATGCAGTTGCTGATCCCGAGTATGGAATGTGGTACAAATGCCCTGGGAGGGAATGCTGCATGGTACAAAGAGTGCTGTGCTGTTCTCCAGTACCAGGGACGAGCCTGAGCTGATAAGGTGGACTGCATAACTGCTGTCCAGAAAGATTGATCAGCACGGATGGAGCCAAAAAGAGGCAGAGATACAGAGGAGGAGCAAGGTGTGCTACTTGGCATAAAAGATGGCTCCTCAGCAACCGAACTTTGGAAGCTTTCCCCACCAAGGATCATGATGATCATCAGGACCAGTAAGATGCTGCCTGGACCCCAGACAATAGGGACGCCCTGGACCTGTGGTGGTAGCTGTCAATCTCTTTCC